TCGGGCCTTGAATAGTAGGCTGAGAAGTGCGTTCTGGCTATTAGGTACGACATATATATATATATATATATATATATATATATATATATGTATATATATATATATATATATATATATATATATATATATATATATATATATATATATATATATATATATATATATATATATATATATATATATGTCGTACCTAGTAGCCAGAACGCACTTTTCAGCCTACTATGCAAGGCCCGATTTGCCTAATAAGCCAAGTTTTCATGAATTAATTGTTTTTCGACTACCTAACCTACCTAACCTAACCTAACCTAATTTTTTCGGCTACCTAACCTAACCTAACCTATAAAGATAGGTTAGGTAGGGTTGGTTAGGTTCGGTCATATATCTACGTTAATTCTAACTCCAATAAAAAAAATTGACCTCATACATAATGAAATGGGTAGCTTTATCATTTCATAAGAAAAAAATTATAGAAAATATATTAATTCAGGAAAACTTGGCTTATTAGGCAAATTTGGCCTTGCATAGTAGGCTGAGAAGTGCGTTCTGGCTACTAGGTACGACATATATATATATATATATATATATATATATATATATATATATATATATATATATATATATATATATATATGTGTCGTATCTAGTAGCCAGAACGCACTGCTCAGCCTACTATGCAAGGCCAAATTTGCCTAATAAGCCAAGTTTTCATGAATTAATATATTTTTTCTAATTTTTTTCTTATGAAATGATAAAGCTACCCATTTCATTATGTATGAGGTCAATACTTTTTTATTGGAGTTAATATTAACGTAGATATATGACCGAACCTAACCAACCCTACCTAACCTAACCTAACCTATCTTTATAGGTTAGGTTAGGTTTGGTAGCCGAAAAAGTAAGGTTAGGTTAGGTTAGGTAGGTTAGGTAGTCGAAAAACAATTAATTCATGAAAACTTGGCTTATTAGGCAAATTGGGCCTTGCATAGTAGGCTGAGAAGTGCGTTCTGGCTACTAGGTACGACATATATATATATATATATATATATATATATATATATATATATATATATTAGTATATTTTGGTAGCAGTCTTTCCTGTAGACATATATTATTAAATATGACCGAAAAAGTAAGATTAATAATTCTAACACGAATTTTCTCAATCTTTCGTACATTACGCTTCACTGTTGGAGGTAAATCAAAAATCAATTCTCCAAAATTCATTTTTATTTCTAGTCTGACGCGACACGGGCGCGTTTCGTAAAACTTATTACATTTTCAAAGACTTTAGTTCACAAATACACAACAGATTAAAACTTACGTATCTCTGATTTTATATCTACATTTGAGTGAGGTGGGAGGGGTGATGTGGCATTAACACAAGACAGAACAAGAGGGGATATTAATAGGGTATTAAAAGTATCAACACAAGACAGAACACAAACAATGGGTATTGAATAGAAGTGTTTGTAGAAAGCCTATTGGTCCATATTTCTTGATGCTTCTATATTGGAGCGGAGTCTTGAGGTGGGTAGAATATAGTTGTGCAATAATTGGCTGTTGATTGCTGGTGTTGACTTCTTGATGTGTAATGCCTCGCAAACCTCAAGCTGCCAGCTATCGCTGTATCTATCGATGATTTCTGTGTTGTTTACTAGGATTTCTCTGCCGATGGTTAGGTTGTGGGAAGAGATTATATGTTCCTTAATGGAGCCCTGTTGCTTATGCATCGTTAAACGCCTAGAAAGAGATGTTGTTGTCTTGCCTATATACTGGGTTTTTTGGAGCTTACAGTCCCCAAGAGGGCATTTGAAGGCATAGACGACGTTGGTCTCTTTTAAAGCATTCTGCTTTGTGTCTGGAGAGTTTCTCATGAGTAGGCTGGCCGTTTTTCTGGTTTTATAGTAAATCGTCAGTTGTATCCTCTGATTTTTGTCTGTAGGGATAACGTTTCTATTAACAATATCTTTCAGGACCCTTTCCTCCGTTTTATGAGCTGTGGAAAAGAAGTTCCTGTAAAATAGTCTAATAGGGGGTATAGGTGTTGTGTTGGTTGTTTCTTCAGAGGTTGCATGGCGTTTCACTTTCCTTCTTATGATGTCTTCGACGAAACCATTGGAGAAGCCGTTGTTGACTAGGACCTGCCTTACCCTACAGAGTTCTTCCTCGACTTGCTTCCATTCTGAGCTGTGGCTGAGAGCACGGTCGACATAAGCGTTAACAACACTCCTCTTGTACCTGTCTGGGCAGTCGCTGTTGGCATTTAGGCACATTCCTATGTTCGTTTCCTTAGTGTAGAAACACTAAGGAAACGAACATAGTTCGTTTCCTTAGTGTTTCTAAGGAAAGAAACACGTTTTTCTTAGTGTTTTATAGGCGCAGTGTGATTCCGTCTGGTCGGCCGGAAAAGCTAACAGAGTCACGGTTCAGTAGATTGCGAGGCTCTCTCTCCGCTGACACTGAGCAGAGGCAAGGCTTCTTTTAATGATGTCATTGACTTCGTCGTGTCTAGTGTGTCAACCACCAGATTTTCCACAGTGCAGGCCATGCAATCCATATTCGTCAGCATCTGCCTCACCGCAAATACACCTATGAACAGTGTGGATAGGGGCAGCAAGACGGAGAGCGACTGCAATACGGAGCTCCTGCGGATCAAGACGTGTGCCTGTCGCAGACATAGGGACTGCCAAAAGGAAGTCCCCTGCATGGGAAGCCTGCACAGCTGTGAGGCGTGCACGATCACTGGGGGTTGTTGCTGCCTCCAGCAAAGCTGTGGCTTCTTGTCTACAATGGGGCTGTCCCAACTGGATTGTTTCTTGGCTTTTGGCATGGCTGGTCTGAGGTCTGGGTCTGCTATGGCACCCCATTTCGTGTCGCATTTCGTGTAGTGGGGGGTCCTGTATCCCCTATACATCACTCAGGGTGTCAGGTAGAATTACCTTAACCAGGTCATCTGATGCTGAGGAGGAAGACAGGAAGGCTGGGACAGCAATTTGGGTGGCAGTGCGGACACCCAAGCCACCGAGCCTGACAGGAAGAGTGGCTTGTTTCCACTGGCATTCGTTGAGGGAGAGGTTAACAACTTTTTCCAGCATGGTCTTCAGTAAGAGGTCATACTCTTCAAGCTTTCGGTTGTCATAAGATGGGGCGCACCTCAGAAAGTAGGTTAGCCTCGGAAGGTATGGGCATTTGGTGAGGAGATATAAAGCATCGTGGGTATCGATGTCACCTATTCTGTCTTCCATCCTCCGAAGGTCTGAGATTTTCTTGTCAAGGATCTCCTCAATGGCGTTAGACCCGAGGGGGGCTCCAAGGAGGGTGCTGTTCTTGGCCCTAATGACCTGTGCTCCAGGCAAGGCAGACCTTATTCTAGCTACGATGTCTGGGTTGGAGGAGACTACTTCACACTTGGAAGGGTTCAGGAAGAGACCCAAGCTTACTTCTTGCTCCCATATTTTCCTGATATCTTCCAAGAGGTGGTCTACAGTGCCAGCTATAGTGCCATCATCCAAAAACCAGATGTTGAACTCGCTGGACAAGCTTTCGGTGATTTCATTTAGGACTAAGAAGAAATGAAGGGGAGCAAGAGGATCACCTTGCTGAACACCTTCACATGATCTGATTTCATGTTCACCAAAGAGCAGTTTTGACTCACCCCTGTAGGACGATAGTATGAACGGGTAGAGGGGCCGGAAATGGCGATGTACGGCACAAAGTATTGCATCTCTTCTAACCATGTTGAAGGCATTCTTAAAGTCCAGTTTGAGCAGGGCCTTTTCATCAGAAATGTTGGTGATGTATGCTCGTGCTGCATGGGCAGCTGCTTCACAGCCTTGGGGGATTCCAAATCCTAGCTGGATTGGTTTTAGCAATTCAGCCGCTTGCTGGCTGACAACCCTCGTAGCAGCCGTGGCAATCAGGCGTCGGAGAGGGTTTCACCAAAAAAAAGGAGCCTTATGACCTCAGGTATATCACCAGCCAGGCACATGTTGACGAACCTTGTGAGTTCCATAAGAAGATCTTGTGCAGCAAGGAGTGCCGGACCAACCGGGCTGTGGTGAGTATGTGGGCCTGCGGGCCGCTCCAAGCAACAGCCTGGTGGACCAAACTCTCACAAGTCGAGCCTGGCCTCGGGCCGGGCTTGGGGAGTAGAAGAACTCCCAGAACCCCATCAACCAGGTAAACCAGGTATCAACCAGCATCACCAACCGCAGGATTTAACATTTGCTTGATGTGTTGAGGTTTTAACCCTGTAAAGCCACCTGCTGACCCAAGTGGAAAAGAAAGGGCTGCATTGTAGACCTCAGATTCACCAACAGTTAATGGGTCTGAAATGGTGTCGGCTGGTGGCGGAACGATGTTGTTGCCTTGAGGGGCTCTGGGTGGGTGCTTGCTTTGCACGGCCCATGCTGTGGCTGAGATTCGAGGAGCAATTTTCTCGTCACTGGTGAGGGCTCTAATAGCACTTGTGGTATTTCTCTCTTCAATTTTCTTGGTGATTTGTGCTCTGATTTTGTACGTTTCCGGTATGTTGTTGTTACCATTTCTGCAGAGGATGTGTTTTGCTCGAAGAGGAAGTCAAACTAGGTTATCCCGCCTTGGGTATTCATTTATCGCCCTCAGGACCGAGGATGCAAGTGATTTGTCCCTCCTTGGAGGGACGTTAAGGCATACATTGCCAAACAAAAGGACATTACGTCATGCTTGAATGTTTTCCGGGGCATCATTGACCCTTTTCAGAAGATTACAGAGTTTGGCTGCTGCATTTATCACTTATTCTGAATAACCTAGCTAAATATTAATAATATTATTTATCGAAAAATAATAACTTTATAATGTGTACAAACCCATTGAATAAAAGTTCTTTCAGGGGTCTTATCGACCCATTTAAGACACATGAGCAATTAAAAAAAATAGACACATTTACTACATTTAAAAAAGCGAGTCAGATCTCCGTCAGTTCTTGACATATCTCAAAAGAAAACATTTTACATTTACAGAAAGCGGTGCTTTCAGCGGAAAGGTAACATGTCTTCGCTTCTTCATGTAGTAGGAAGAAGCATGTCAGCAGCGAGGGTGTGGCGTCCGGTGTGCCCCATCTTGCAGCGCCTCAGTCAACAACGAGCCACACCTCATCTCAGTCCTTTTTCCTCAGCTATGCCATTGCAGAGCTCTCACCGCCAGCCCCACATGTAAGATATATTCTTTATTGCCCCCATCAATACCACATGTAAGATATATCAATACCACATGTAAGATATATTTATTGTCCCCATCAATACCTAATAGTATTTAGCGTAGAAATGTTTTATGTAAGCATTTAAAATTGAGTCTTTTACAAGTAAAACAGTTTTTTCCCATCCCCCCTTTGTTCCTCCTCCCCCGTTACTTTTTTCCTCTCTTCCCATTGTCTCAGAAGATATATTATTGGGAAGGACTGATACAAATGTTTTGTCTTTTATCCCCACTTCATCCTCCCCCTCTCTTACACCACTCTGGTCCCCTCTTCGTCCTCACCCTCTCTGTCTGTCTACACCAGTCCACCGCACTGCGATAAACCTCGTCTGTCATCACCGCTCTGCCCCTCCCTGGTAAACCCCGCCCACCTACACCAGCCAGCCCCTCCCTGGTAAACCCCGCTCATATGCACCAGCCTGCCCACCCCCCCTGGTAAACCCCGCCCATATACACCAGCCCGCCCCTCCCTGGTAAACCCCGCGCATCTACACAACCCCACTGCTCCCTGATAAACCCCGCCCACTTACACCAACCCGCCCCTCCCTGGTAAACCCCGCTCATCTACACCGGCCCGCCCATCTGCCTATCCAGATGAATGGACAGATAAATGAATAGATAGATGTATGCATAGACGGATACACAGATGAATAGATGGATGAACAGATAATGGATAGATTGATGTATATATATTGATAGATGGATGATTGTATAGATGAATGGATAGATGGATCGATACCGATCCATCTATCCAAATTGATGGGTGGATAGATAGAATGGAAAAATATAGACCCTTCTCCATGGTGATCTGGTTTGAGGAGGAGGGGATTCCAAAGCACCTGAACCCGTTCTTCACTGCTTCCTGGGCCTGTTCTGCTGTTTCGAAGGTCATCTTCATCGTGGGTCGAGTGGCGCCGTTAATCTTGATGAGTAGAGCTGTCGTTGCTTTCAGAGTAGGGTTTTCTTCGATTAAGGTTGGTGCTGTAGTATGTAGAATGATGTTGTTTAATACCTCCGTCCTGCAAATAAAGTGTAAGACGTCTTCTCAGTGTCTACGTTTACTCAATGTAAACATATATATCATTGGCTATATCCATATCCAATGTTAGTGGCTTTGCAAGAATGTACAAATACCAATCTTATGTAATCTCACCAACCCTTTGTATCTCCTTGTGAATAAGTTATATTATTATTATTATTATTATTATTATTATTATTATTATTATTATTATTATTATTATTATTATTATTATTATTATTATTATTATTATTGTTATTATTATTAACTGCGCCTGAATCACGCTGCCTGGCGCTGACAAGTTCATGTTGGTGAAGGAGCCTACTAACAAAACAGACTGAATGGTTGATGTGGAAAGGTGGTTTCTTCGCAAGCCCGGGGCTGGCGGCTCCCCATACCAGGAGCTCACACTTTCCCACTACAATCGTATAATTCTAACCCGCTCCCACACAAATTCTTGACAATGAGTGATCGCCATCGATTTTGATGAACATGTGTATTTAGGTCAAGAAGAAAAAGTTTCAAAAGTCTTGACCTTTGTGTTCTGCTGCAAGTTTAAACAATTACTCCCATTGTGGAATTATATTTGGTTCCTAAGTTTCTGCTTCATAATAGAATGCCTCACAAAGTAATTATTATATTTCCTCAGGAATGAAGCGCAGGAGTTGAAGTGGCTTCACCCAGGCGATGGCAGGGTAGAGGACATGATAGCCATGAACAAACACGGCATTTGGCGCCAGGGCGGATATTTTACCTTTCACTTGGATCAACCATTTGAGCCACATCAGTATCTTCAAGCTCTTACTCATCTGCATAAGTAAGTACAGAGCACAACTTCCTTTTGCATAAAACAAACAATAGCAAACGCAGTTTTTGGGTTATTAGATGAACTAACTCAAGCTAGACAGTATTACTCCAAATTGCTGGAAAGTGCTAATTGCGATATAATTTTATATCTATTGTCAGGGGTCAACGTCGTTAGTGTAGTAACAGTGTATAAGAACCTTATCCCGGAAACCTGGCAAGATCGCCAATGTCAGGGTTTACCTTAGTTGTAAGCATAAGTATAAATGACCGTACTTAATATCCTGTCAACTGTCGCCAACGTCGGGGTGTCTCTCTCTCTCCATAGACACCACCCAGTAGTACTAGCAATAACTGTTACTCACCGTAGCCCTGCGGGTCTTCACTCAATCCTCGCGGCATCACTGTTCGCCAGGAGAGTATCCCAGTCGATCTCCAGCCGGCCTTATAGCCAAAGACGAGTGAGAACACAGTTTTCTCTCTCCCAACCGTGTGCCCGCCCCAACAAGGGCTCTACTACTAACTGCAAGGTCGCCAACTGGTGTTTCCCGTATCCAGTAACACGTCAGTGGTATTGTGGGATTGTGGTACTAGTGGCTGAGAGCTCACTCATTAAATCTGGTAACAGGCAGGTATATGTCTCTATCACTCTCACTCTTTCCGACTGTTCTATAGCAACAAGAATAGGGAGGGATAATACAAACGCGAAGGCAGTTTTGTATTTTACTTAAAAGCTTCAAGGTATTATATCCATATCAACAGCAAAGCAACAAGTACATGGAAGGAAGTCACTCTCTCTTCATAAAACTGGAACTCATCTAGAGGGCAACACTCCCCCTTCCTGTCATTATTAGGTGGGCGGCCCCCCTCACTGTGTGAATGCTCCTGTACTTGTTTCTTGGCATTAAGCGCCTGTTTCTTTAAATTCACAGTAATCACAATATTTACAATCAACACAATAGTTTGCTATAATGGCAATAGGACGCAATGAGCCACTTCACTGGTCTCAAGTTCAATAAATCATTTCTACAGCAATAAACACAATAATTCATTGTAAAGGCGTTATACACGGCAGATCATAATAATGATAATGAATGCAATTATCCACGGTACTGGCCTTAGACTCAGTAATTCCTTTCGAAGGCGATGACACAATAAATCTCTGTACACATGAAAATGTTATTCAACACTCCAGCACATATATATATATATAGATAAATTCATCAATGTCAATAATAATAAGATAATACTGGGCACACAGCCTAACACCAATAACTGGTACACTTATATATATATATATTCTCTGGCATAATATATAATATTAATGTTACATGAAAGAAATCATCCACGACACAGTAATCTCTTCAATAATCACAGGTGCTCTCCCACACCACAAATATAATCCGTGAGCGCTCTCTACAGCCTCACTCTTCACAACTGTGCCCTACCATAACATAGACGTTGGTGAGCCTTGCTCACGACATAGAAAATACTCTGGCTAAATATAGCTGACTAAAGGGGAATTGGGAGGGAAACTAGAATCACCTACTTCCACCTCACTGATGTGGACTCGCACTCCGGCGAGAGTTGAATTGCAGCTCCTGGTCCCGGCTCTCGACTCGCTGTAGGGAACGCCCCCACACACACACTGATGCTCTCTCCAGGAACCCAATCAACATCCAAAAAAAAACGCGTCGTCTCCATGCTCTGTCCTCTGCAGGCCCGTGCTCCTCCATAACTTCTTGAAGGGTTGGAATCGGTCTCCTGGCCGTCGACTTCTCCTCGCAACTACGTCTGCAATCCTACTCTCGGCTGCAGTCGTCCTGATACCCAATTAGTTTTCTTCTTCCGCTGCTTCCAGGTGGATTGGCCCAGCCGCTACGTCGTCACTAACGGGTGAACTGTCTCAGACGTCACATACGTCACTGCACAGACTTCACTTCTTCTTGCAAAGTACCTGTCCCTGGAGCACTTGTTGCTCAATATTCCGTCGATTCCCTCTTCGGTCCAACACATGGAATGAAGGAAGACATCACAGAATACTTGCAGACTATGGGTGATGCGTATAATCCACGGGAGCGTGGTACAACTGTCAAACTGACAGGACCAACGTTCGCACGTCCACCTTCGTCAACGTGTCGTTTCAAACTGGTGGCGCCACAGAGACGCGATCTCTGTACCCCCTTGCTCTCGTGACGTCATACTTGCCAGGGGCGTTTCTCATTGGCTCCCTGTGCCACGTCACTGTTCGTGACCAATCTGGTGCCACTGACGTCATACAGTTTTGGCGGGAGAACGGAGATACCGGTGCCATATTTGCGTCCTAAAGGGCCTAAACCACAGGCCAAAATACTCTTCTTTTGGGAATTTCTCGCCAACGCGAGAACACTACATGCTCTCACATATATCAAATTGTTGCCCGCAACGTAGAGAGCGCTTGGGTAAAGTGGATATGACTCTTACAGCTGGCGTGGGAGAAATATAAGGGGGGGAACACCGTCACACTATATAAATAAAAATGGAAATGTTCGTTTGTGCATAACCGATAATCTCCAAAAGTTCTTCACCGATTGCTTTGAAATTTTCACACAACGTTTGTTACGAACCCGACTCCATCGTCGGAGCATGGAGTAGCAACGTCAACGCCATCTGTGAGTCTGCTCCCTAAACCTCTACATAATGGACGACGCCATCTGGTGGTGGCAGTATGATACATGCAAGAGACTCTAGATTCCTGCCTTGATCAGCCCTAAGAGTCGCAGTAGCTGACCTCTGGTGAGGTGGCGCCTAGAAATCAGCGCCATCTATCGTGATAGAAGTTGTATGTCCGCAAGTTGTATGTCAGAGTCCGGAAATCGTATTTCCTAATGTCCCAAGTACAGGCCAGTTTAATGATGACGTGTCTGTATCTACAGAGGCGACGTAGGGCTACGGAGGTATGAAGACAGTTGGTCTACCCAGGGTAGCCTATTATCTCTCTCTTCATTCTGCTTTACGTGAGCAGCGAGCCACCGCCGAAGAGGAACTGAGTAGTATCTGCTGTCTGCCTGTGAAGTGGCAGTGGCAGAATTCGGCGTATCCCGGGACTGGCTAGAGGAAGAGACGACCGACAGTGAGGTGCTACAGAGGAGTGTAACTAGCTAGTTGCAAGAAGCTCCTGCCAGGGGTTCGCCATCCTTGTATTTGTTCGTGAAGAGGCCCAGCAGCGCGAGGCTGATGTTCTCTGCCAGCACCAGGCTGGAGAGTGATTGTGGGCGTTCACAAGGAGCACCTAGTGATACTGTAGATAGGCTGGCCCATGGCTAGGGTAGACTCGTTGGTGTTTCCCAGTACTGGTTGAGGACGGTACTGTGTGTTGAGGAAACACGGAAGTTGACAAGGCTGCATTGGAGGAGCATCGAGGAGCGCTTAGTGTCCTATGAGAGCGACACATGTGTATATATCAGTGTAGTAATACGTCGTTTATGATTCTATTAAAGGTGATGGGAAAGTGATAATATGTGAATATATTGATAAAGGATGAATTGTCGTATTCCTTTCAACGCCTCCCCCCTTGAATTTTACTTGCATTACCAAGCCTACTCCTTGAAAGCCACTACCGACTTGGAGTCAGATACTAGTACTTTGGTTTCTCCAGCAAAGAACCCGGTTGCGACCCATAGTGGCCGTAACAACGTTCAATTCGCATCCGAGCAGGTTTATATATACATACTATATGGATGTCACGTCTGTGATGGTAAAAAATATGCTCTTTCTGAAAATCTGTATTATGTGTTTTTCATGTGAGGGAAAAATTCAAAAGATCAAATCAACCGATTGCTTTGAAATTTTGACACAACGTTGCTTTCGATGGGCGCGTCTTTTTATATATCTACTAATATACATGCCTCACCTGTGACAGGAAAAAAAACATGTTTTTTTTTTTTTAACAGCACTATCTGTTGGACGTAAGAGCAACACACGCTGTAATCTCAGAAAGTTCTTCACCGATTGCTTTGAAATTTTGACACAACGTTGCATTGGAAAAGGCACGTCTTTTTATATACCTACTATATAGATACCACCCCTGTGACACGTAAAAACGTGCGTTTTTGAAAAACAGTGCCATCTGTTGCACATAATAGCAACATGCATGCTATACTAAATAAGTCACGAATTCCATTTCAATATTTCCGATTGCATTGATAAATTTTATTTTCATAGATTTCGATTTATTTAATTTTTATTGAATTATTTTGTGTGACATTGTGTTGGAATTGAGCTGTGTTGTTTACCATACCATTCCTTTCGTAAGTATATGTATAGATGCCACACCTGTGATGGGTAAAACTACGCTTTTCTTGAAAAACAGCGCCATCTGTTGCTTGTAGGAGCAACACACATCCTACACTAAATATGTCACAATTCCTTTTATATGTTTCTGATTGCATTGATAATTTGAATTTTCATAGATTTTGATTTATTTTCATTTTGATTTAATTATTTTGTGTGAATTGTGTTGGAATTGAGCTGTGTTGTTTACCATACCGTTCATTTCGTAAGTATATTTTATTTCTTTATTTTTTCTTATTTTCATTTAATTTTTTAACTTTTTCTTATATTTCAATGACTCATATATGCCAAAAATGAAAACTGGTTCGATTTCAATCTAACTTTTTTGACGTGTTTTATATAAAAAGGGTTTCATTTGGTCTAAGTCTCAGCATCGTAGCATAAATAGGAAGGGAGAAAAAATATTAAATTATGTGTCAAAAATTTTCCAAAATGGTAAAAAACGATTTGCAAACACATGTGTCAATTGAAATCATGTCTATGACTCAGCTATCACAATAGCATATATTAAAAAAATTAAATTACTTTTATTAAACGAAAATTAATTTAAATAAAAATAAAATTTAGATTTTTTTGTTTTCTTTTTTAAAATATATTTTTGTTATTTGTTTATCGGACGATTTGCATGAAACTTATACACCTGACTGCACGTAAGCCTATCTGTAACGGTGCCAATTTTAGAGTAATTGGTTGATGTCAACCTCAGTCACAGATGGCAGCACCTTAGGCTTTATTATTTTTTTATTTATTTCCAAGTAACATAAAAATTCTTATAACTCTTTCACTTTTTATTCAATTTACATGAAACTTACACCTTGTATGTAGAGTGTATGTCTCTAAAATCTGGCAGAAGCTTTGCTTCCTAAGTTTATTTATTGATTATATAATAGCAATAAACATGATATATTTGATAATAATTTTGGGGGGAAAATTTGACTATTTGCATTAGAAAAACTAAAGATGTTTTGGAAAATTTCTTCCTATAGATCCTTTATTATATGCTAATGTGACAGAAAAGTGTCATAGAATGATTATATCTGAAAGGTGTGGTTGTTTATAAACACTTGAAAATGTGTAATATTCGTTGAAAAAAACAAAAAAAAATAAAAAATCTCCCTTTCTATTTTAGCTGCAGTACTGAAACTTGGAACAATTGCAGACCTTTTCATATACAACTAGTCAAAACATATTGGTTGACATTGAACAACTTTTAAAAAACTAAATATAGGCCCCTGAAGAGCAATGTACCTGTCTCCGATATTCCTCTTTATCTGTACCCCGCCATTTAAATATCATACACACCTTTCAGTAAGAAAGGTAATGAGAATCTTGCTCTTCTAAAACCTGTCACACTTGAAACAATTGCCTCCTCCATTGAAAATATAAGATCTTACGAGCACTGTGTCTACACTGACGGCACAATCCAATCTTCTATTTGACGGACTGCAGCAGCATAGAAGTTTTATTGAAATAATATTTACTCACAGACTATCAGTGTCAGGTTAAACAACGGGCAGACAACCACACAAACAGAACTAGTGGCATACAACTAGCTACCAGTACATTAAAAACATACGAGGAATAATACTTTGTGATTCAAAGTCTTTTCTTCAAGCAATTGAAAACTTCTCCTGCATAATCGACAGCAAGAATCTCATACTAGCAATTATAAACTACCTAATCGTTGCACAGAGTAAAGGGTTTCGAATCTTCATTGTATGGATACCAACACACATAAATATAACCCATCATAGTGACACAGACATTGCCGCCAAATTAGAATGTATCAGACATGAAGTTGAATTAGACCTCGATATCCCCATCCCAAAACACTTAGGAGAAAAATTAGGAGATAATAGATAGGAGAAAAAGATAGGAGAAAAATTACTGACTCCCAACGACCTGAAAGCGCCAGTATAAAAAGCTATGATTTGTTCAGATCTGAAACCTATGTTTATGGACAGCACAAACCGTCCACCATACTGGGCGACCCAATGGTTGCCAGGGTCAGGTTGGGTTACCGTTACTTGTGGCTGGAGGCTTCCGGTGACAGATCTCCCAATCCTGAGCACTCCAGGTGCAAACTCTGTGAGCAGGAACTGGGTCATGATCTCGCACACTACATCACCGAATGCCCAGTTATCAGTTTTCAGACCCGTTGGCATGAAGTACCTGGATTTTTGCAATTACTTTATTCACTCTCGTGTTCTTGAGGTTCTTAACTGCATCCTTATAATGCACCCAAAATTTGCCAGTGCAGGCTACTGCACATATGGCCCAGTATTAATAACCGTCCTGTGAGATGGGGATTTTTAGTATCATTGCTACCTTATTCACTCTTGTGTTCATGATGATATCCTCATATTGCACCCAGAGTTTGCCAGTGCAGACTACGTATCACATGCCTCTGCATGACTAACCATCCTGTGTGATGAGGATTTTTAGCATCACGTAGCAAGTTTTTTGACAAACTTTGTACTCCTCTTCATATAGTCTAGATAAGCTAGGTCTTTACACCTTCTGTACTCCCCATCATATAGTCTAGGCAGTTGCACAAATGCAGATATACCTAAACGTGTTAATAAAAAAACAAATGCTCAATAAATGCAACAAAATTTGAGATAGTTAAGCAGCTGCCTTCACCAATAAGATATAATCACCCTCATTACTTACCATAGAGAATCATGGGTGATTTATATAAATAATTGTTGGAATATTATATTATTTAGCAGGTCGTTGCTCATCTAATATTTTGATGTAGCAGAAGACATAAGTCACTTCTACGCTCCTCTGGACAAACCTACCAGGCTCGTCATCTGCTTGCTTGTGTTTTAACACATTCTTTATGATGCATTGTGTCTTAGTTCTTCTGGAGCTTTTCTCCGAGCACCGTCAAGGGATTTCACGAGCTCTGATATGAGCACTATGAACGGGTTTAAGGAACGCTCACTCAAGCAAAATGACCAGGCGTCAAAGGTCTCCTTGGAACGCATTGATAAATAGGGTTTGTTATGGTTATGGAATGAGAAAATATTTTTGACAAATTAACTTTTAATGGGCGTCTACTATATTTCTTTTTATTTGACAAAATTTGTTTATTTTATAAATATTTTAAATTAGTAAAATAATCCCTGACAACATATAAGCAACGAAGTAGCAGTGAAACAAGGCAGGAACAGGATTAATCAAGTTGTTTGGTTTTCAGAAAGGTTCAGCTGTTGAGAACCTGTTTCCGCCCCCGTGACAAACAGTGGTGGCTGTGTGAGATGCCAATACCTTCCATCGACTTCCAGGTGAGCATTAAATACATCCTGTGTGTCAACAACACCTTCCTCTCTTACCGTCTCTTCTTCAAGATTTTATTATTATTATTATTATTTGTTTAACTTTACTTGCTACGAGAACGTGGGAACCAGGAGAGGCTGCTGAACCACGAGCGTCTGGGAAGCTGAACCACAAGCTCCTAGGAAGCTGAACCACGAGCTCCTGGGAAGCTGAACCACGAGCGTCTGGGAAGCTGAACCACAAGCTCCTAGGAAGCTGAACCACGAGCTCCTGGGAAGCTGAACCACGAGCTCCTGGGAAGCTGAACCACGAGCGTCTGGGAAGCTGAACCACGAGCGTCTGGGAAGCTGAACCACAAGCTCCTGGGAAGCTGAACCACGAGCTCCTAGGAAGCTGAACCACGAGCTCCAGGGAAGCTGAACCACGAGCTCCTAGAAAGCAGAACCACGAGCGTCTGGGAAGCTGAACCACGAGCTCCTGGGAAGCTGAACCACGAGCGTCTGGGAAGCTGAACCACAAGCTCCTAGGAAGCTGAACCACGAGCTCCTGTGAAGCTGAACCACGAGCTCCTAGAAAGCAGAACCACGAGCGTCTGGGAAGCTGAACCACGAGCTCCTGGGAAGCTGAACCACGAGCGTCTGAGAAGCTGAACCACAAGCTCCTAGGAAGCTGAACCACGAGCTCCTGGGAAGCTAAACCACGAGCGTCTGGGAAGCTGAACTACGAGCGTCTGGGAAGCTGAACCACAAGCTCCTGGGAAGCTGAACCACGAGCTCCTAGGAAGCTGAACCACGAGCTCCAGGGAAGCTGAACCACGAGCTCCTAGAAAGCAGAACCACGAGCGTCTGGGAAGCTGAACCAGGAGCTCCTGGGAAGCTGAACCACGAGCGTCTGGGTAGCTGAACCACGAGCTCCTGGGAAGCTGAACCACGAGCTCCTGGGAAGCTGAACCACGAGCTCCTGGGAAGCTGAACCACGAGCTCCTGGGAAGCAGAACCACGAGCTCCTGGGAAGCTGAACCACGAGCGTCTGGGAAGCTGAACCACAAGCTCCTGGGAAGCTGAACCACGAGCTCCTGGGAAGCTGAACCACGAGCTCCTGGGAAGCTGAACCACGAGCTCCTGGGAAACTGAACCACGAGCTCCTGGGAAGCTGAACCACGAGCTCCTGGGAAGCTGAACCACGAGCTCATGGGAAGCTGAACCACGAGCTCCTGGGAAGCTGAACCACGAGCTCCTGGGAAGCTGAACCACGAGCTCCTGGGAAGCTGAACCACGAGCTCCTGGGAAGCTGAACCACGAGCTCCTGGGAAGTTGAATCACGAGCTCCTGGGAAGCTGGACCACGAGCTCCAGGGAAGCTGAACCACGAGCTCTTGGGAAGTTGAACCTCGAGCTCCTGGGAAGCTGAACCACGAGCTCTTGGGAAGCTGAACCACGAGCTTCTGGGAAGCTGAACCTCGAGCTTCTGGGAAGCTGAACCACGAGCTCTTGGGAAGTTGAACCTCGAGCTCATGGGAAGCTGAACCACGAGCTCTTGGGAAGTTGAACCTCGAGCTCCTGGGAAGCTGAACCACGAGCTCTTGGGAAGCTGAACCACGAGCTTCTGGGAAGCTGAACCTCGAGCTCCTGGGAAGCTGAACCACGAGCTTCTGGGAAGAACAACTGGTCAGTGTTTGTGTTGAAGCGTCTATCACTTTGTATATTCAACACTCTAAAACTAACCTTTAACAGGTAATATATAATTTTTTCATCCTGTTCTGTTATATAGTTAAGTCTTCAGTTCAGATACGGAATTGACGGATCATACAAAACCATTGCCGAACAATTACAGCACGTGAGAAAGGAAATATTTGGTCCATGTCTAGAAGTGCATTTAGAGAGGAGGTGACCATTTAAGGGGGGGGTGCACACTGCTGTTCTCTTCGCAGAATGTTTTCTTGATGCTTAGGGATGAGTCAGACTCGCCTGTGATCACCTGGCCGGACACTATAGGTGTGCAAGTGCAAGTGACGTAATGAGATCCCCAGGTACCGTTTTCAGTAATTGGCATATTTTCAAAATAAAAAGTCGTAATTTGAAACTGAAAATAGGTGCAGAGAGTCAGAATTCGGCTCAAAAACGACGCTCAGGAGTCAAATTTCCGACATTTCAGATATTTTGAAAACTGCAGGAAGGGGGTTTGGTAAAATTTGATCCATCGCCATTTTCAGTAATTGGCATATTTTCGGTATAAAAAGTCATAATTTGAAGATGAAAATAGGTGCAGAGTGTCAGAATTTGGGTCTAAAATGACGCTCAGGAGTCAAATTTCCGACAATTCAGATATTTTGAAAACTGCAGGGGGGTTTGGACAAAATATGACCCATCGCAGTTGTCAGGAATTGGCATATTTTCGGTATAAAAATTCTTAATTTGAAACTGAAAATAGGTGCAGAGTCAGAATTCTGCTCAAAAATTATGTTCAGGCGTTAAATCTCCAGCATTTTAGATATTTTGAAAACTCCAGGGGATTTGGGTATAATATGACACATCGCCGTTTATAGTAATTGGCATATTTTCGGAATAAAAAGTCGTAATTTGAAACTGAAAATAGGTGCAGAGAGCCAAAATTCGGCTCAAAAATGAGGCTCATGAGTCAAATTTCCAACATTTTTTATATTTTGAAAACTGCAGGGGGTTTGGGTAAAATTTGACTCATTTCCGTTGTAAGTAATTGGCATATTTTCGGTATAAAATATCGTAATTTGAAACTGAAAATAGGTGCAGAGAGTCATAGTTCGGCTCAAAAATGACGCTCTGAAGTCAAATTTCCGACATTTCAGATATTTTGAAAACTGCAGGGGGTTTTGAGTAAAATATGACCCATCGCTGTTTTCAATAATTCGCATATTTTCTGTATAAATAGTCGTAATTTGAAACTGAAAATAGGTGCAGAGAGTCAGAATTGGCTCAAAAATGGCGCTCAGGAGTCAAATTTCTGACATTTCAGATATTTTGAAAACTGCAGGGGGGTTTGGACAAAATATGACCCATCGCAGTTGTCAGGAATTGGCATATTTTCGGTATAAAAAGTCAAAACTGTATCAAAATGAACTTTGATAAAGGTATAGCAGACAAATGTAAAACCGATCTAGGCTTGTTCTATAAATTTATTAAAAGCAAGGTGCATGTAATGGATAAAATCCAGAGATTGAAAACGGGGAACAGGACTACTGAGAATGAAAAAGAAGTGTGTGAAATGCTAAATGAACAGTTCCAAAGAGCATTTGTACAAAATGAGGATTTCATAGAACCAGACCTAATAATAATTCCTGAGCAAGCCTTAGAATTCATAAAGGTATCTCAATAAGTAGAAAAATTGCTCAAGGGACTAGGAAGAAAAAAGCAGTTGGACCTATTGGAGTTTCAGCTTCGGTGCTGCGAAAATGTGCAACTAAGCTGAGCATTCCACTCCAATTAATATTCCAGACACACTTCTGCACAGGAATCTTAACAGATATATATGGAAAAAGGCAAACATAGTACCAATCTACAAAAATGGTTATCGAGGAACCTCAAAATTATAGACCCATATCATAAACAAACGAAGTTGTAAAAACACTAGAAACAATAGATAAAGCCAAATGGGTTGAACACCTAGAGAGTAAGGACATAATAACGGATAACAGTATGGTTTATGAACAGGAAGATCATGTGTAACAACTCTACTAAGTTTTTATGATAGAGCCACAGAGATAATACAGGAAAGAGGTGTTTGTGTGCGTGTATTCATCTAGTTGTATTCACTGTCACGTGGGGGGGGGGGGAGCTGGGGCTCCACTAGCAATCAGTTGCTAGGGACTCAGAAGGCAGAACACTCAGCCCCTCCGACTCTCGGGAGGGGGGGGGGTAGCTCGGGACTCACCGGAGTCTCCTGGTCCCACAAGAGAGGACGAGCAATGCCCACCACCGCAGGTCTTTGCTCCCACCACTATGGGGTGCCACTGATTCACCCTGGGAGCCCTTCAGTCAATCACTGGGAAACTGCTGTTAGCAATTCCGGTCTAGACCCACAGAGAAGTGAAGGAAGACCCAGGCTTACCTTTTACCATTAAGGTTCCCTGAATCTTGCCTGTCAGACAAAAAGGTCGCAGGAATTCCTTTCCGGCCTGCCTTCCCTATCTTCTTTTAACAAGGTCGCCAGCTGGGTTGAGATCTCTGCACCCCAACAGTTCAGTTCAGTGGGTGTATTCTATACTGCTTGTTGCCAAAGTGTTGCTACTCCTATAGATCTGACACTGAACTGTCAGCCCAAGGCACTCTCCCATAAAAGTCAGTGTAGCTTTACCTCTCTCCAGCCACTACATTGCTTGTTGCCAAAGTGTCGGATGGCCTAGGGTACACTTTTATATAAGTCTGTGCTGCTTTACCACTCTCTAGGCACTAAGACCTTCTGTAGAAAACGTGATGTTCACTAGGTGGTACTATGATAACCCCCGTGTATGCTTATAAAGATTATTATGGAAGCACAATTAAACACTGATAAAATGTGTGAATTTATTTTAAATTCATATACATAAAGTACATGATCACACACATATATCTACAAGCAATACAGGAATGTAAAAATGAGAATAATAAATCTGGAGATCGCCAGCAACTCTTCTTTCACGACCTCCAACAACTCCTCCAACTGGGCAGATTGAAAAGGAGCCACACACTCCCTCACAGAGGGGCCTCTTCGTCAACGTCGGCTACCTCCCCTTCAACTGCCCCGTCGTCCACACTCGCTGTCCTCTTCAACAGTCCTGGACACAAGCTGCCCCGCAGCTTATACTACTACTAATGTATCAATGTTATACTGCAACATACATAGGTAAATATCGTCGCCTATCTAGCCTACTCAAGAAAGGGGTAATGGGAGGGAAATTGATCTACCTTTACATTCCTGGCTCACGATGCCTGTCCTTCGATGGTGTGAAGTTCCCACGCTTCCTGAGTCGGTCCTTGACGATCCAGGAACGTTCC